CACACACACACACACACACACACACACACACACACACACAGTGTGGCAGTGTATTTCCATGTTCTGGATGAAGATTCACTCCAATTTTGCTAGTCCTACACAACATACACAGACCGACATTGCCACGCTTCACCAAATGAGCAAAATGGGATTGAATCTTCTCCTAGGACATGGAAGTATGCACTGCCACAACATGGAAATATATACTGCCAAAGACCGAAAATGTGGCAGTGTATATTTCCATGTTCGAGTGACAGATTCATTCCCATTTTGCTCTTCCTATGGATGAAAAACTCTCTCTCTCTCAAAGGAAGGACCGGCACGCGCTCCAGCGACAGTGCACTCCTTTTCCGCTAGTGTCTGCGCCGTCGCGCGGTAACTGATCTTACTGTGGTAATCCGCCATAACCAACCGCCCATCCTTACAGTGGTAATTCGCCATAGCCAACCTCCCCATTCTTACCGTAGTAATCCGACATAGCCAACCTCCCCATCCTTACCGTGGTAATCCGCCATAGCCAACCTCCCCATCCTTCCCCGGTAAGGAGGGGGAAACGTGCCCACCTTACAATGTCTGGTGAGTCTTCATCCACCGGGTAGGGTAGGGCGTGTGGTGGCCGGTTAGCCGGTCCCACGCTCCTCGCGTCGTCATGCAACCAGGTTTACACTTTCGTACTTGTTACTTTGCTCAGAATTACCAGGGTGACGCCCAAGGAAGGGCCGTTCCACTACAGCGTTGCAGTTCTTTCGCCACAGCATTTGAGTGGCCCTACATGGATCAACTCTCTACCTCCTTTCGTTGGATTCACTCACACGTTTCGACGGTCAGCTTCAGGTATCGGCCTGTTAACATCCTCTCCAGAGTCTCCACCAACTTGCTAGGTTCACAATAACCTATAACTTTCATCATTTCTTCTTTCCAAACTCGATATGCTGTCGTTAGTAAGTTTTCCAAATCCATGAGTCATTTCCATTTTGGACTGGTTCGATGAATCTTCGTATTATTGGTAGTTTCTTTGTTGTGAGGCAAAGCTGCTTCTTTTTGCAATGCTACAGTGGTGTAGTGCCGACGAAATAATTGCTGTCGCGTTTCCTTCCCTTACCTCCGGTCGTCGAATATGATGCACCTGAGCACAGTTTTCGCCTACAATCACACGAATTTCATCTTCCCTTCCCCCCCGTCTTACCGTTTAAGCTTCCAATACTGCTGCCAGCACTCGTCTCACTCTAACAGTGTTACATGCCCAGTTGGGCGATGCACATAAATAACCGAGGATCAGCAATGTGACGAAAAGGACTGAATGGACAATGCAGTGCAAGTGAAATCTGAACAAGCAGTGTACAGCCTGATACATACAAACATGGTGCTTTATAGCGCAGGGGAAGACTTAGATACAAGTCCTGACCTGACCGGGACTGACCTCTATCACGTAGTGCAAGACAGCGCAGCAGAATGCTAGAATACCAATGACTAGCCCAATCAATGTCGCAACGCAGACCAAACATACATCGTCCTCATCACAAGGTGTGAAGGGGCCTGGCGCTACACACAGGAAGAATGCGCCAGGTCCAGATCATGCACAGACGAAGAGGAGGGGAACAGATGAAGAAGAGGGGGAGAGATGGGAATGTCGTCAACACCAAGTCTTTGTTACAAGTCCCAAATAATCCCTCGTCAAAATGTCTGAAGCCCAATTTCGAGTCTGGATCCAAATGTCACCAAGCCCACTCTCTCATAGTCTGCTGATGCAGTGAAGTCAGGTAGCGAGAGGGTGAGAGGGAGATGGTGGACTGAGAAGAGGAAGAAGAAGAACTCTCTCTCTCCCATGTGCCAGGTACTAACCTGTGAAGATGGCGATAAGCTGCAGGTACCTTGAAGGCGAAGCTGGAGCTATGGCGCTGCAGGTAAGTATCCCTGGCCTCCGCCCAGTCTCTCTCTCTCTAGTACTACTCTAGCTCCTAAGAGCGCCCAGCGCTGAAGACTACTGCTAACGCTACTAGCGCCCCACGCTGAAGACTACTGCTAGCGCTACTACTATTCTTGCAGCGCTCCAGAGTGCTGCTGCCGAATCCTGAAGACTACCTCCTGCCTCCTGAACTGCACGTGAAGTGCCTTGGAAGTACCTAGGAACTACCTGCAGCCTGCAGGGCGGGGCAGTCCTATATAGTGCTGGCCCGTCCAGGAGGCTGCTCTTGCCAATGCCAAAAAGTGCCAGACCCTGGCGCTGAAGCTCAACCAAGGGTTGTCTTGAA